GATTGCCTACGTCCTGATCTGACCCGGCACATAAAGAAACGAACATGGCGTCAATGTGTAACCGCTATCATTGGTTATTGGACAGGACCTGTAAGTAGCTGATTCATTTAACATTAGGTCACTCACTCGAGTACATGGCGCATGCGCAGTGTCCATATATTATGTTTACCATAAAAATATAAAGGAGCTGGATATTAATATTGGTATATAGTAATTTTTATGCAGGAGTTCTCTGAGACAAGAAACTTATTTGAAGGGTGGCACAAGGGCAGATAGTTTGAGAGACGCTGATCTAGTCATTTTGAGAGACGCTGATCTACATTTTGGTATTTATTTACTTATTTTATCCTAGAATATGTCGGTCTACCAAAACGATATCGCAAATTGAATTGTTGCACCTGGTAAAAATTGCCAAGTACGTATTCCAAAAGCTAGGCAGAGTATTACGAGACAGGATGGTTTCGTTGGTATCAAAGAAAAGAGTACTGAACCGCTACGTGATATCCGTCCCCCTTTAAGGCAGAGAATGTTTGACGGTCCCCTCAAAGATAAAAAAAGGAACTCGAGGCAACAGAGGTGAAGTTCTACAGAAGGATGCTAAGGATAACATGGACCGAACATGTGAGCAAGGATGACGTTTTGGAGAGGATGCAAACAAAAAGGAAAATTATTATTAACATCACCAAGAGGCAGCTGAAATTTCTGGGACTCTTAATGTGAAAGTAAGGCTTGGAAAATCTGATACTCACATGGTGGATAGAGAGAAAGAGGGACAATGGAAAGCAACGCACGACATGCTTAACGGGCTAAAGTAAATTGGTGGCAGAACAGTGTCTGGGAGAAATAACAGAAAGGCAAAACTTATTAAGAGCTACAAGAGACTGGATGAGGTGGAGAGCCATGATTGTTTACGTGCTGAAGAATTAAAGAAGTCTATGGGTTTGTGACAGTAATTTGGGTCAAGGGAGAATCGAACTCACTGGCTTAATAGCGTAGTTTAAATGTTTTTAACTCCAGTGTTATGTTCCCGTATAAAAAATACTCTTCATAATCTTAGGGCGTCCAGCTCAGATCGTCACGGCAAGGACCTGCCACGCCGTATTCAAGGTGGGAAACATCCCCATTCCACACGGACAGATTCTTTCCCCGAAATGAGAGAATGCTTCTCTGACAATTACAATCTTGATCACGTTAAGCCCAGGGTTAACCGATTTCTATCCTATTCGTCCGCATAATACTCTCTTACATTCCATTATCGCATTCCTTACAATCTCACTTAGTAACCTGCTACTTTGAGTGGCTCTTGGTCTCTATATTCGGTATTAGTAAATAATACATAAATAAATAAATTATGTTTGTGTAACTGGGTTTCAAAGATGTGTGTTTTGCTCCCCACCTATTAGAAAAGGGGTTAGGACACCTATAATTTCATATATTATAAATTGGCACCAGGGCCAATGACGAGCAAAATAGAATACTCAGATCATTCCCATGATTCTACTAGTCAGTAATTCCTGCTGAAATACATGCAGATTTAAGAAAATCGATTAACACTACTGCTGTCGTTGGCGCACAGATACATTATTACGAAACATACATTGCCTTCCGTCGATATACAGGGTGGCCCAAAATAATGTAAACACTTTTCGAATCGTTATAACTTATTCAATTTATGTATTTTGACTTGTAAATAAGATTAATACAAGAGAAAGAATACACATTTAGAGAATTTGAGCGTAAAATATACAAAACGCATAGAAAATTAATTTTAATAAGATAAAAGCTATTTGAGGCAATGGCAGACTCTTTATATAATGATGAGTTCACATCAAGTGTTCAAACTGGTTGCCGTTCTGTTCAATACACTTTTCATATCTTGAAAAAATAGACCTACAAAGGTCCAGTATCATTTCTTCTGGTATTTGAGAAAATTCTTCTACTATTCTCATTTCAGCAATTGTTTCAGGTTTCCTGCTGTAAACTTTGTCTTTTAGAAACCCCCACAAAAAGAAATCAAAGGGTGTCAAATCTGGTGATCTAGGTGGGTATTTTAAACTGTCCCTCTTCTTCCAATCCATTGCATATTTTCATCCATATATATATATATATATAAAACGATCATTAACTATTAGTATTTAAAGAGTGTATACATTATTTTGAACACCCTGTATATATATATATATATATATATATATATATATATATATATATATATATATATATATATATATATATATTTTTCAAAACGTACTTATACGTGTCTATGAAACTTACATACCTGCTTTTGACGCATACGTTAGCAAGGCACTGACATATCGGTCCACAGTGTTTGAAATGGAGAGTTTAATCTTTCCATGCTGAATCATTCGATATTAATTGACCAAAGAGTAAGCTTTACTGTCGGTTGTAAGTTATAAAATATTTCTATAAATGTATTCTTTCAAGAAAATATATTTTAAGCACACTAGCTGTTATCGCTCTTTCTAGTACTGATGAGGGTTTCCTACCTTACATTTTGCTTGAAGTATGGGGAAAACAAACATGCTTTCGGAAATCTTCCACTGATGTGGTGTATTTTATTTGGTAACGTTCTTTGTTTGTGATTCTGTAGCGCCAGTCTGCGAGAAAACGATGCAATCCTCTCTGGGACCCGAATGCCTAAACCATTTTAATTACTGATCTGTGAAAGCGGATGGAAATAGATGAAAGTTTAAAGATGTTTGAACGAGCTGGACGCCATGCATGGCATCCATATGAGATTCGAGATCTGAGAGGACTATTTACGAACCTGACCCGAGGAGGTATCGATACGACTACTTATCTTCGTATGGCACAAGTTCATAAATATGAAGCAGGTAATTTGTATCGAATCGCAGATTTAAAGTTATTTATTCATTTGTTAACGCAGAAATGAGGCAAAAAAAAACCCAATAAACGTCTCTCAATATACACCAGAACAACATTATTTACCAGTGAAGACAAAATAAAGGCTGTCAGATGAAGAATTATGAAAAGACATCATTTAATAAGGATTGACCAATAATATTATTTCTAAAAGTTCAAGAAAGAGACTTGAATTCAAATTTATGTTCATCTTTGCTGTGCTATTGGTTAGTTTTGTTTTGTTTTACAGCATATTAACCTCAGTGGGTTATTTAATGCCGACAAGATTTTTATTGCTGGTAATATTTTCTATCTATCTATCTATCTATCTATCTATCTATCTATCTATCTATCTATCTATCTCAGTATATATTGGTTTGTTTTGTTTTACGGCATATGAACCTCAAGGGGTTAATTAATGCCGACAAGATTTTTATTGCTGGTAATATTTCTCTTTTTTGTTTTTTAACAAATGTATTACTGGTAATTTTTTTCTTTCAAAAATCTATCTCTGGTAATATTTTTTCTTCAAAATTGTATTGCTTGTAATTATTTTTTTCAAAAAAAAGTATAGCCGGTAATATCTTTTTTCAAAAATGTATTGCTGGTAATAATTTTTTCTTCAAAAACTTATTGCGGGTAATAACATTTTCACAAAGTATTTCTGCTAGTAAAACCTATTTTTACACTTTCATAGTTTAGGGGTTAACTATTTGGCCATAGCTTGGACCCTAACAGGTGCTACCACCCCGGGTCACGGTGGACCTGGGAACACCAGCAATTAAGAGATGGTTTCACGCTCCTCAAAACCTCCTGATCAGAGGGCTTGCTGTTGGGCGTAGCTTACCGTCTTACCCAGGACGCGAATGTAGTTTATCGCTATACACTGGATGGGCAGTGCTATTGTATAGAAAGATTAAAATGAACGGCTAGTATAAAGACGTTTCTAGAAAAAAATGTTAAAGTTTATTTTTTACTTTATTTAATCGAGAATTTATTGAATAAATTTAAAAAAAAAAATATACAAGGTGCGATAGACAGATTTTCGTCTAAATTACGCCAAAATAAAAATAACACTACATCACATTTTAAGAGACATATTTACCAAAATGACTCAAAGATATCTTGAAATACCAAAGAATGAATTTATTTAATAAAGCCACCGTTAAGTTCGACCATAACCTCTATACGATATCTGAATTTTTGCATCGCTTCTAGACGGTCTCCTTGTTTAAGTTGTTGTTGTTGTTGTTGTTGTTGTTGTGTGTGTGTGTGTGTGTGTGTGTGTGTGTGTGTGTGTGTGTGTGTGTGTGAAATAATGATTGACATACAAAACTCATAAAAAGAATAAACAACACATGGGAAAAGACAAGGGCGTAATAGACAGACAGATAGGGATGTAAACTGAGACCGAAAATATTAAGAAAAAATATAGACTTAAAAATTTAAACATTATTGAAACGATATTAAGAGCTACATGTATAACAGTGAAATGTATTATCGCAATTAAAAGGCAAGGAGAAATCGTGCAATATAGCGGAAGCTCTAAATATATTGACATATATGACATGGAGGACCAGATGGTTTTATGTAGATATTTGTGAAGATATTTTACCAAGAAGCTAAAATAATTATGTATAATTATTATACCTTCAAATATGTTCATATTGAGCCATCTCCGTCATTGGCTTATTTATTCAAAGAAGTACGTAAAAATTCGCCTTACTTTCAACTCATGGGTAAAATCTCCGACTGATGTCAAATCAGTTGGATTTCGCTCCTGGCTTGAAGCAATTGGATGTCTACCACACTGATGTGCTGTGATACATTGAAACAGTCTGTCTGTGGATGAAAATATATAGCCCCAGTAAAATTTAATTCCGGTCGAGGATTCTAAACAGAAGGCGTGAATTTGTAAACAATGACCATTGCTGCTAATATTGCAAAGCTCTTCCATGAATTGGGCCCTGTTTATTGGAAGAGTAACTACGTAAAAATTCGCCCAGGGGTAAAATCTCCGACTGATGACAAATCAGTTGGGTTTCGCTCCGGACTTAAGGCAATCGGATGTCTAGCCACTCTGATGGGTTGTGATACAGGGAAATAGTCCGTCTGTGGATATATATATATATATATATATATATATATATATATATTAATCAGCACTCTATCGTGACTAGAAGTTTCACGCTTGAAGCGATCAGCAGACTATAACATGAGGTGAACACCAAGTGTTGACGGCCTGTTTCATGCTTGAACGCAAACTTGAGTGAACAGTTGTCCAAGTGTGACCTCAGTGTACAATTTTATATGTACATCCGCTCTATCTCTGATATAGAAATGTTTTACCAATAAATTTAGTCTACCTTAAAATAACATTTTTACTGCACACACACACACACACATATATATATATATATATATATATATATATATATATATATATATATATATACTTATATTAGGTTAGCAACAAAGTTTCAGCTAAACCTAAACTTTTAAACCTAAAAGTTATTTTCATTAAGGCTTGAGCGAGAACTTTTTCCTAACCTAATATATATATATATATATATATATATATATATATATATATATATATATATATATATGAACATTTACTCGTTTTGGAAGTTTTTTTTTTTGCACTCTGGACGATTGTTTTTTCGCCTCAATTTCATGTTCTTAGTTCTTTCTTTTTTAATTCCTCATTTTTCCTTGGGTACTAGTTTGTTCTACTACAAGCCAATATGCCCAAGGTTTTTCCAAGCTAGTATCACAATTTATATATATATATATATATATATATATATATATATATATATATATATATATATATATATCAGCGTCTTCCTATACTTAATACTTCTAGAATTCCCTCTCCCGTGGTCATGTGTGACGTCATGAGATGCGGTGCGATTTTGGCTTCCAGCGTCTTATATGCACGTGTTTATCGTTACTTGGAAATCATCCATGTAAACGGAAACAGACTATCATAATATTCTTGTCCGTGTATTGCATAATATATTGTACTGTAATTTGTCATTTTTGTTAATGGCTTATGTAAGCCGAAAGCTTAGATTGATTAAAAATATGTATCAATATTGTGATTTTCTTTCTTCGTTTAATCATAATGTTATTAAGATTATCAGACGTTATGAAAAGAATTTACATAAAATAAATCGACAACACTTGTCTATATTATTTCATGAAACACACACATATATATATATATATATATATATATATATATATATATATCAGCGTGTGTATATGCGTGCGTTTGCATATATGTGTTGGTGTTAGAACGGGAAAGAGCGAGAAAAACAAAATGAGTGAAAGAATGTAAATGCTAAAAGGAAGAAAACGCATTTCCATTCACTTCAAAAAATACATTCGTAAAATAGTACAAAAATATATGACTTCGGGATCCCGATTATATATATTCTTAAATTGATGGCAAGCCCACTAAAATAAGTAGAACATAGCTTTTTATTGTCTTTCTAGTTCCTAGCGCTTCCCTTTTCTTTCTTTTTTTTTTTTTTTTTGTTGAAATTCAAACGAATGCGACAAACAACTTTTACTTAAAGCCAATTCTGGAACTTTTTTTTTTAGCTCAATTTAAGCTCAGTGTCGCCACATTGAACAGAATTGTCCTGGTGATTCCACAATTATGCTTCAGCAACGCCTCCTACTGCGCTTTCTCGAGACCACGACGATGACAAGAGACGGCATAACAGGTACACATTTGACGCGGATAAGTAGAGAATTTAATAAAAAAAAAAGATGCTGGTATTTGTCTCTTGACAATGAAACCTTTTTTTAGTGAACCAGTGAGTGCTATTAATGTCATCTATAGGAAAAAAAATGACGGATGAGTCGGCGGCATCGAATAAAGGTCTTTCGAGAAAGAAGTCAATGGGTGGCAATAAATTGGTTTGTTTTGGTTCAGTGGTTCTTGGTCTTGTTTGTAGTGTGTGAGAAAACGATAGTAAATTATCCGAGAGAAAAAATAACAGGCAACAACAACAATGAAAAATATATACTGAGAAGTGTATATCATATAGGTATATGATAAAAAAATGTTTACTTTCACTTAGATTTATTTTTTAATATTCAGTCAAATAAAAGGTCAAGAGCCACTCAAGATGGAGGGTTATTTAAGGAGGTTGTTGTATAAGCGGTGAGTGTAAGAGATAAGAAACCCATTTTAGGAAGATATGGCGGAAACGTGGAACTGACTCCCAAGAGGATGCTTTCCTGACCGCTACAAGTCTAGGGCTAAGCGTTATTTTTCCGCCATATCCTCCTAAAATGGGCTTCTTATCTCTTATACTCGCCGCTTATACAACAACCTCCTAAAATAGCGGTTCGGCGAAAGAATCTCTTTGCGTGAAACTTCCTTCCTAATGAAATATGAAATGAATCAGGATGGTTCAACTCAGTGTATTTGGCGTGGTGAGTTTTAGCTTTAGTTTCGAGGTCTAGAGTTTGTGGAACTAAGGAACGTAACGTATCAAAATTTTATGGACATCAAAGGTCGTTAAGCAAATTCACGTAAAGTTTAGTCAGAAGATCAATTTAAATACTAAATACGCTGGAACAAGATTAAATTCACTTTAATATGAAGATCAACATTTATTAATTTGATCGCTATTTTGACATATTTAAATATAATGAACATAAACAATTATGACTCTCCATATTCCGTTACTTTATTATTTATGAACTGTCCTGATTTCTTGTCATCTCCCCATTTTGTGAATTCAGATTTTTCCTTCTTCTAGACTGACGAATACCGAAGACAACCAGCTATTTAATCCTAAGATGCTGAGAGAATATATGTACTGCTGCCTTTGCCAAGAGCATTTGTGAGAATTGAACCCAACAGATAAGACTGGGATTTGAACTCGGCGCAAATATTTCACTTCCCACGCCAATAGCTGTTAAATCTCCCGCACATGCAAACTATCTGCAATAGTTTTAATAAATTTACTTTACTTATGAAAAACTGTTCTTATTTTGTTTCTCCTGTCATACTTACCAAAAGATACACGTGATCGTCGTCCTGCATTGTGCGCGTGTGTCTGCTTTGGTAAAGCCATAAAATGTTCTCCCCTATCTATCTAAAAATTGTTTCCTGGTTGAGAGGACAGTAGCTTTGCTAACTGTGCCAGTATTTAGCAACGAGCATATGCGAAAACATCGAATGCTGATTATCAAAGAAGTCAGTTCTTTACTCACTTTGAAGACTGGCGAAACACAATGTTTGTAACGATTATTTACGCCACTACCCTTATGTAGGACCAACTAACATATCACTGTTTCTTTTTCTCCTTATATATATATATATATATATATATATATATACCAGACATGGTCCTATAGCCTTGGGCGGTTAGGCAACGTAAATCTTGGTTAGATGGGTGACCTCATGGGAATACCAAGTCCCGTAAGATTGGATATGCAGTTTGTTTAATGGGAAATGTCTTGGATTTGCTAATCCGATAATGGTTCGATTTTGATTTTATATATATATATATATATATATATATATATATATATATATATATATATATGTGTGTGTGTGTGTGTGTGTGTATGTGTCTATATATATGTGTGTGTGTGTGTGTATGCATATCTTTGTGCGTGTGTCTGTGTGAATGCTTGTGTGTCCGTTTGTGTGTGTGTGTGTGTGTGCGTATGTGTGCCTCTGTGTGTGTGTGCGTGCGTGCGTGCATGTTTGTGTGTGTGCTGGTGTGAATGCTTGTGTGTCCGTTTGTGTGTGTGCGTGTGTATGTGTGCCTGTGTGTGCGCATGTGTGTTCGTTTGTGTGTGTGTGTGTGTGCGCGTGCGTGCATGTTTGTGTGTGTGCCTGTGTGAATGCTCGTGCGTCCGTTTGTGTGTGTGCGTATGTGTGCGTGTGTATGTGTGCCTCTGTGTGTGTGTGCGCGTGCGTGTGTTTGTGTGTGCCTGTGTGAATGCTTGTGTGTCCGTTTGTGTGTGTGCGTGTGTATGTGCGTGTGTATGTGTGCCTCTGTGTGTGTGTGCGTGCGTGCATGTTTGTGTGTGTGCCTGTGTGAATGCTTGTGTGTCCGTTTGTGTGTGTGCTTGTGTGTGCGTGTGCGTGCGTATGTGTGCCTGTGTGTGTGCGTGTGTGCGTGTGTGTGTGTCTGTGTGTGTATCGATGTTATCGAAAGTGGAATCGGGGAGTAGTAGAGTTCAAGTTCTATCTCCGTCTCTTACGTTTCCTTCCACACTGATGTCGTTGGCAAATGTGTAAATCAATCTCTTTTCAATCAAACTATGGGTTAAACGGCAGAGGATACCTGAGTCACTTTAGGTTTGAGACGATACTAGGGGAAGGAATATAAACCAATGCAGTATTGTGCAAAGGCGAAATTCCAAGAGGAAGCAAAACAACTAAAATATTAAATAAAAAAAAAACATTAATAAAATAAAACATAAAAAAACAATCAAAAAAAATAGATAAACGCATTTCTGATTTTTATGAATCAACACTCTCTGTGTTTCTCTCTCTCATTGTATTTCTCTTTTTCCTTCTCTCTCTCTCTCTCTCTCTCTCTATCTATCTATCTATCTATCTATCTATCTATATATATATATCTATATATATATATATATGTAGTTACCAAAGTGAATGCTGGTGGTAAATAAAACTGCCGTCGCCTGACGATTGCATTATGTTAGAAACAAAATGTATACTTAGTATTATATATATATATATATATATATATATATATATATATATATATATATATATATATATATATTATATTTATTTATTTATATTTATGCTCTACTTTTGTATCAGGAACTATTTTGAAAAAATAATAACAAAAATACTAAAGATATTTGGATTATTTACCTAACGAGTTCTTTCCTATTTTCTATATATTTTTTAGACACACACACACACACACACACACATATAGTTAGATAGATAGATAGATAGATAGATAGATAGATAGATAGATAGATACATATACACCTGTATTGAAAACTTCTTAATACATTTCTTTTCTTAATAATGGCATATATTCAGAACAGCTGCCTTCTTTAATACCAACAGTTCAGACATTTGGAGTTAGGAGACGCCATGTTACAACCACGGAGTTCAATCTTCCTCATTTCTATTGTGTTCCAAATATATAAAAAAAGCTACATTCACGAGAACGGATCTTTTGAGGAACAGACGCCCGCTCTGGTTGTTTCTCTGAACACGACGTTCTTCAAGTCATGGTCAATCATAATCTATCCTTGTTATCCAAATGATTATCACTTCTTTCCAGTTCCTCTTTCATTCACCACACACACTTCGTTTGTCACCACTATTTTACCAGTAACACTCTACCGTGATTGGCACTCGAGCCTTACATTTTGTGAGCTTCAGTATAAACATGTCCTCTGTCGTACTGAAACGTATTGATTCGAATAATGTTGAATCCTAAAATATATATCCCGGTTGAATCAGTTCGTCCTAAGGTGGTACCTAAAATCGGTCCAAAATTAGTGAATATTTTATCTCCGATAATGAAAGTATTTATAATTCTTAATCAAAGCTTACTAACACACAAGAACATTACCGTCTATACAAATAAATTGGTTCGTTATAAATCTTATTATATTTAGCGCTGAGGTATGTGGCCAAGCAGGAGTTGAAATCCATTCAGTGAGTATTTGGATGTGTTGAGAAAAACAGAGCTTATTTAAATATATTTGTGATAAAATAAATAAATGCAGCTACAATAATAGAAAGAATTGTTGTTAAATTTCATATCTCTTTTGTTGTTCTTAATATATGCGTTTTATTTTACTTTCAAGTTTTTCGCTTTTTTTTGTTGTTTTTTTTTAACCTCTTTCTTTTCTCCGACTTCCTGTTTTTCTTTTTATCCGTTGCCTGTCTTCCGTTTTGTTGGAGTCGGTACAGGTTCATCTTTATTTTTAATTTATTGTTATTCAACTTGCATTTCGGTCATTTTCCGAGATAAAGGCTCTTTCAAGTGGGTTTTTTTTTTCCTGCTCTGTTTCCGACTTAAACTTCCTTTCTCGTTAGCCTTTTCCTGTTTACGTTTCATCTCCATTGCATCTTCTCCAAAATTTCCCAAATCTCTCATTTTTTTTATAATCCTCTCTTTTTATTATTTCATTTTTTTTTTTAGTTTTTTTTTCTTTCTTTTTTTTTTTTTTCATTTACTACCTCCTTTTACTTGGCTATTTCATTTACTACCTCCTTTTACTTGGCTATTTGCTTCGTATTTCCCTTCCCTTTTTTTTGCATTTATCATTTTTTTTTTATTTTCTTTTTCTCATGACTGCGTTCTTTCCTTTTTCCTTTCTCTTTTAATTTTTCTTTCATTATCTTTTCTATTTTCTGGTCATTATTTTCTTATCTTTACTCCTGTCTTTTGTTTTCTAATTATTTCATTTTGTGCTCTTTTCTTAGGTTTGTCTTTCTTTCTTTCTTTCTTTCTTTCTTTCTTTCTTTCTTTCTTTCTTTCTTTCTTTGGACATTTTACATCTATGGGATTTACTCTTTCTTTCTCTGATACTTTCTTTCTATAATCTATCCTTTCCTTCTTTCTTTCTCTATTTCTGTATGCTTTTCTTTCTTTCATTTTTTCTTTTGTTCTTTCTTTCATTTTCCTTTCTCTGATATTTTTTCTTTAACTTTTGTATTTTCTGCTCTTTCATTTTATTTTATCTCTAATCCTGTCTTTAATTCTCCAATTATTTCTTTACATGACTTTTTCTTTCTTTCTTTCTTTCTTTCTTTCTTTCTTTCTTTCTTTCTTTCTTTCTTTCTTTCTTTCTTGTTTGTTTGTTTGTTTACTTCTTTCTTTCTTCCTTTTGTTCTTTTGCTCGTTCCTTCTTTCTTTTTTCCGTTCATAGATTTTGTTTCCTTTATTTTCTGCCCTTTCATTTTTCTTATTCTGTTTTTAATTCTCTAATTATTTCTTTATATGAACTTTCTTTCTTTCTTTCTTTCTTTCTATAAACATTTTACATTTGTCATTTTTTTCTTACGTACTCTTATACTTTTATTCTATGAGCTTTCATTTCTATCTTTGTTTCTCTTTTAGTTTCTTTGTTTATGTCATTGTTTCTTTCTTTGTGTCTCTTTCTTTTTCTTTCTTTTTGTTTTTGTTTCTTTCTTTGATTCTGTCTTTGTTTCTTTCTTTCTTTTTTCTTTTCGTCCTTTCTTTTTTCCATCCACGACTAGATTTCTTTGTTTATCTTTTTTTTCTGCTATTTCATTTTTTAACACTAATCCTGCCTTTCTTTCTTTGATTCTTTCTTTCTTTCTTTCTTTCTTTCTTTCTTTGATTCTTTCTTTCTTTCTTTCTTTCTTTCTTTCTTTCTTGTTTGCTGTTTGTTTATTCTTTTCTTTCTTTATATCAGTAATCCTTTCATTCGTTCCTTTCTTCTTTCTTTTTACCTTCTTTCTACTGACTTTTTTTTATCTCAAAATTCAATGTAGGATTTTTTCGTTCCATTTCTCTCGTTTTTCCTTCATATGGCGGTTTTATATTTTTCAATTCTTTTTACGATATTTCTTCATTTTTCTCTTTATCTTATTTTATATTCCATTCATATGACTCTGATATTTGTTATTAATCATTCTTCTACTTCCAAATTTCCTTATTATCAACTTATAGAATCTTCATCCAAGATATAACAGTTGTCTTGAACTAAAGATCTGTAGTCTGGTTGGGCCGAGCAAAACTTTGGAATCTATCCTTTCTCGCTTTCAAAAAAAAAAAAGTATAAAAATAACATTCGTATTAATCTTGGTAACACTTCAAAATACGACATCATTCTTAAATCATTCCACTTTTTCTTTCTTTTTCAGTTGCATTTGCTGTTGCAATGCACTTTCATGTAACATTTTCTTCCCTATGACTAAAGCTGTATGCCTGGTTTAAAGTAGCATTTAGTACTAATTTCCTTGATTTTGTGACATTTATTATTCGGCTATGTCTTGGCTGTTTGGGTTTAAATACAAAGCTCAACCTCGGTTCACGAACGTCTCACATGTCGAACAAATCGGTTTTCGAACAGAGAATTCGAGATGAAAATACCTCGGTTATCGAACAAACTTTTGTTTCTCGAACTACATTGCCGAACTGAGCCGAATCGAATTATTTCTTAGTCGACCGCCGTGTTGTATACATTCTTGTTCTGTGCTGTGCCTTTCTTTTCCAATTTTATTATACTGTGCCTTTTCTCTCTTTATTAGTCATCAGTCATGGCTCCAAAGAAAGCTAGCAGTGATACTGGTAAAGGAAAAAGAAAAGTTAAGAGGAAAACAATTGTTGATGATATTGTCTCTTCCAAAATCAACGATCTATACTTTTCTTATCAATAAAGAGACGATCATGTCTCTCCTTCCTCTTTCCAAACTATAACATCTCTTTCCTTCGCCTTCCACATCACCTTCCGCTTACGCCATCACCTCTCCTACTTAGAGGTACGACGAAATTGAAGTTTGTCTATATTTTATCTGTTTAGTATTGGGTTTTTTTTTTCTTGAATTTCATGATTGTCATTAGTTTTGTATATAAACTTGTGCACAAATTACTGTTGTAAAAGTTTAAATAAGTAATTATCTTGAGGCCAGGAACGGATTAATTCCATTTTACATTGATTCCTATTGGAAAAGTAGTATTGGATTTCGGGTTACGAACGGGCTTCAGGAATGAATTAAATTCGTGAACCGAGGTTCCACTGTACTTTGATTTCGCGCTCTTGTTCGATGTTATTTCTTTGAATTACTTCGCCTCAAACCACCTGAATGCAAGGAAGTGTTAGTGCGAATGAAAACAAAAAGCAAAAAAAAAATGAAGAGGTTTCAGTAACATAGGAAATGACGATTGGTACTGAATTTAATTTTTTTGAGATTATATTTGACAGGGAACCAATTAGCTGGAAGAAAATCCCACAAGCGAGAAGTATGAAGAAAGATACTATTAGCATAGATCTTATGGTTACAGTTAGCAATTTCAAGTGTAATTATTAGACTTACTTGCCAATCTAGTACTGCCCATTGGCGGTCACAATCTTAACGACATAAGATACTCAGATGACACCGTACTGATAGCAGACACAGAAAAGAAATTACAAAACTTTCTACCTAAGTTAGCGACGGAGAGCGTGAAGAAGGATTTATCATAAACTACAAGAAAACAGAATGCATGGTCATCATTAAAAAGATCAGCCCGAAATGCAATTTGCAGGTCGGGAACACTAGAATCAAGCAGACGCGGAAGTTTAAATATCTGGGAAGAGTTCTGACAGAGGACGGTAAATGCGACACTTAGATCCGGAGAAGTATTGAGATGATCAAGGACGCATTCCAAAAGCTGGGCAGAGTATTGCGAGACAGGAGGATTTCTTTGATAACGAAAAAAAGAATACTTAGCTCTTACGTGACATCTGTCCTTCTTTACGGCAGCGGATGTTGAACGATTTCCTTAAAGAGGAAGAAGAGGATCGAGGCTACGTAGATGTGGTTCTACAGTAGGATGCTGAGGATATTGTGGATCGAACGTGTGAGCAACGATACGGTCTTAGAGGGGATGCAAACAAAGAGGAGGCTTATACTTAACATCAGGAAGAGGCATCTGAAGTTCCTGGGACACATATTGAGGAAGGAGGGCCAGGAGAATCTGATACTCACGGGTCGAATAGAGGGAAAGAGAGACAAGGGAAACCAATGCATGACATACCTAGCAGCCTTATGCAAGTGGAAGACATAATGTGGTCTGGGGGGGGTGTCGCAGAGGAAAGGAACTTGTTGGGAACTGCAAGAAAGAGAGAGGGAGGTGGAGAGCCCTGATCGCCTACGTCCTGAAAGGACACGGCACATAGAAAGAAGCGGTTTCGTATTCATTTCAAGTATTACTGTGAAACCAGAATATGTTTTGTTTACATGTTGATTGATTGCGACCTATTTTTTATATAATACCGGTGATATATATATATATATATATATATATATATATATATATATATATAGAGAGAGAGAGAGAGAGAGAGAGAGAGAGATAGTGGCAAATCGAGAGAAAGAGAAAAAGAGAGACAGAGAAGAAACGGACAACATAAAGTATAAAGGGAGAAGCATGGCAAAGAGAGAAAGTCTGAAATTGACTGAGCAATGAATAAGCGTGGGTATTACAATCCCTTATAATCCATACAGTTAATTATTGCTGTAGTGGATTTGAATTTATGATAAAGAGTCTTGGGAACCTTATGTCCTTATTAAGATAAAGTCGTATATCATGCGTAGGTAGTGACACATGCAAAGTGTCCATGTTAAATAAGCGAGTGAAATATGTGATTAGTTAACCTTTCCATCCCATATCCACAGGCAGTGTGTCAACAAATGAGTAGCCCAGTGTCATTTAGGCATGTAAGCTAATGGTTAAATGTTGAAATAAAAGACAAACAGGCTGTAAATAACAGAATATTTAATAACACGAAATCATTGTTCTTGGAGTTTCCTTCTTACGATTCCATAGAAAACTGCAGGCATGAGAAGATCTATATGTGTAACTTCTGAAAAGGATTCGAATGCATAATAACAGCATTGTATTTCTTATATTTAGGTTGAATTCTCATAGTAAAACGTGTAGCTGGTAACTAAATCTGTTGCTAATTCTAAAAAAAAAATAAAGCTTAAAAATAGTCGTTTTCGAGGAAAAAGGTGTTACTTAATAATGTTTCTACTTTTTACCAGTAACCATTGTCTTCGTTTTTAAAAACTTGATCAGACCGAAAACAGAGTTTGTTGGACCTGTCTAATCAAAACCTTGACAGAATAATAATAATAATAAATAAAAAAAAAACACGTTTACGAGTGTATGTGGGTGATGAATTACTTTCCGCCTTACATTCAATTTTACCCTGAACCAAACATTGTTACATTCTCAATTAACAAGATTTTATATAAAAATATTGTTATGTCGATTATTTCTCTTTTGATCAGATTATCTTCCGTGAGTATCGTACATTTTATGGTTGCGTCTTTCGGTTAGTAACACAACTATAAGGAATTTTTTTTTTCCAATTTATGAACAGTTCGCTACAGATAATACTTTTTCACCAAACACATTAACAGTTTTAACATAATACCTATAATAATTATTTATCTACATTATTTATTCGGACTTTTGTCCTCATTTCTGTTGCCATATTCACGACGTTTCGGATGTTGTACGCTCCGTTCTTCTTCAGGTGTCTGAAATTTTCAAACTGAACTGAGGGTGAGGATCACTTTTCGAACAATGTAAGTAATGTAATTAATTACAATAGGTCACTTCAGAAATATAGACAGAATGAAAATTAGCTTTTAAAACATCATTTGTTTTATCATATTCACGTCGTTTCGGCTATTGTACGCTCCAGCCTTCTTCAGGTGACTGAAATTTTCAAACTGAACTGAAGATGAGGACCACTGTTCGAACAATGTAAGTAATGTAAATAATTACAATACCTCACTTCAGAAATATAGACACCCTAGATAATCAGTTTTTAAAATATCATAATATCAGTCATCATTGTATAAAAACAGCAATTCATTAATTGTGGGTTTTTTTGAGTAATGGAAATGTAAATATAACTGAGCATTACTAAAATAAGATCTAGACAAAGTGTTCCTAGGTATGTTCAGCACAACTAGAACATTCTTTCCCCGCCCCAGATATTAATTAAAGTTTGCAGTTCGACATTTCCTGAAGCTAAACTGGATCGACAAACACCTGATGAAGGCCGGAGAGATGAGAACGCTAATACAAATATTGTTCACAAATTGCTCAATGAGGCAGTGTCCAAAATAAAATACATGTAATCGATACTTTCCCAGAATCTGTTCGATGTTTAATCAATAATTTACCACAATCTGTCCGACGAATCAACTTTTTGTCATTGAGAGTGGATTGAACTTGCTTCGGTTATAATTACTGTGTACCAAACCGCTGCTTTACAAGGTATATCTCTAAAATTATGATTCATCAATTCATAATTCACATCCTATTCATAGTTTTTTCTTTATTTAAAATTTGCTGCTAAACGGATTTTACTTTCCGCCATTTTATCAATTCATAACGGGCAAAATATTTGCTTGTTTATACAGGAAAATTAAGCAGAAAATCTCCCTTTTCTAGTTTTTTTTCCCTACCTTTTTTTTTTTTTTTTACAAATATTGGCTTTATATTCAGTTTCTTGTACGTTTTGAAAGAAAATCAGTTTGAAAAAGAAAAGAAGTAAAAACGAGAAATGAATTGTTTTCTAATCGCTTCAGTATTTTGCCGTAAACTTCTTGAGTGTCTGTTGAAGATCTCGCTCCAGAGGAGCGACAATTGAATTAGGAATCAAATAACCGAGAAGTGAATGAGATTTAAAAAGCGGAAATAAAAAAAGAAAACAACACGCATGCGCAAAAATATACTGCTGAATTTCAATAAAGATTACTGACATTTGCGATTTCAAAAGAAGCATAAAATATTCTAGAGATTTGTTGATTTGAAATGTCAACAAAAAATAATAATAATAAATTTCCATATTAATATTGCCAATTACATCGGAATTGTTCATTTAC